CTAACATTTTCTATTATTGTCTCTAAATTTCTTTTCTGAGCCTGTTTTTCCAGAGAAGATTTTAAATTTCTATTCACCTGGGGTCTCTAATTCTATATTTATTATTTATTTCTAAGTAGCCTCCTGTGACTAGTATATAGAACTTCTGCCTTTTTTTATTTACTAAGAGCATTTTTGAATTCAAATACAAAAATTATAGTTGTGAATGATTCATGTGCACTGTAAAGAAAGTAATTCCTTGTCCTGCTCACCATGTTCTTATTGTTTGACATCCTAGCCTACATTAGTTATGTATTATTCAGCTCCATACTTTTTAAAATCAATTTTTTACTTGGTATGTCATATTTTGAGAGTAAAGTGTTGAAGTCTCCAATCACATTATGCAGCAGATCCTTGGAAGACATTGCAAAGCATGCATCCTGACACCATATGGTTATCATTCATAACTGCAGTAGGGGTATAACTGAAAATTTCAGGTTTTTCCTTTACACACTTAATGGCGTTAACCATGAGTAGACAGTGCGAAAACCAAGATAATGTTTTGATAAAGTTCAGTTTATTTACTAGCTAAGTCACTTGTTTTAGCAGAATTAGAAATTGCCCACATGTCATGGACCTTCTGGATTTATCCACTCAACAATATTTCTTGAGCCCCACAATGAGCCAGGCACTGGGCTAACGGGTCGGGATACAGAGATGTGCAAAACACTTCTAACCCTTGTGCTCATGGAGCTTCAGTGTAGTGATGCTTACTTGCAGGTTGTTGAAGCTAGATGAAATCTCTCATTTTCCAGGTTCTACTCTTTAATTTTTTCCTCAAATTTCTTTCAGTTTTTCTTTTATGTAGTTTCATGTTATCTTATTCAGGTTATTAGGCTTTCATTGAACAGCATACTTTTGACCTCTATGACCTGACATAATCTCTTTACTGCCTTTCTTCTGTGAAATTTCCTATGAAACCCCTTCTTTCCTCCCAGAGTATGGAGCAAAACCTTAGAGTATTAGAGGCTCTCAAAAATATTCAGAGAGGAGGAGGAGGGAGGGGAGACCAAGAGATTGTATTGTGGGGTAAAGAGTGAGGGTGGGGAGAAGAGATATGAGGGAAATGAATTCTTGAGAAGGAGCAAGTGGCTGAGGCTAACAAGAAAGCAGGGGCTTAACCAGCAGTTCATCTGTTTTATTATTCTTTTGGGATAGCCTTGTTCTCCTCTGTGCTGTTCAGATTTTTTTCTGGAAAAATTCTGCTCTCGTTTCCTGGATAACCCAAACAGGTGAGAACAACTCAAATCAATTCCCCTTTTATTTAGTTACCCTATGGGCCTCGATCTACCTTGTTGGCACCAACAAGTTCTAAAAAGGTTTCTCCGAATCTTACAGGCACCCAAATCAAATCAACCACTTATATTACCAGCAGCCTTCTTTGCCATGAAAAGGAGTTTGAACTTTATCCTATATTTCCAAGATAAGCATTTCTAAGACTATATTTAGAAGAACCTTAAATGTTCCATGAGTTACTTGAAACAAGGTATTATTTGAAACAAGGGTTCCATTGTCAGATGAGTTTGGGAAATGCTAAATACTCCCTCTTGGATGGTCATGATGCCCCTTAGCATAGTAAAGACTCTGAAAACATTTCACTAAATACATCTATATGACTTGGTTTAATCCAGAATCTCCCATAGTTATTTGACCATAGAACCATTTTTTCCTGTGCAATATTTCACTAACATCTATGGAACATTACTGGTACTGAGAACATAATTTAGGATACGCTGGTAGAAGCATTGGAGGAGC